TCTTCATTAAAGCAGCACATTCGGAATGGGAAAATCCTAAACCCTAAACCTTATTCATGATTTGGTGATCTCTTCCTTGGATTTTGAAGTCTTAAATTTGTCTTTTGATTCTACCTTTCCTTTCGTCTGGTATGATTCTAAACCTTTTCCATAATTTTCTGCTTTTTGGTCTCACAGGGAAGTCAAGTAGTCGAACTGTGGTTGGCTATGGAAGGGAGTGTCTATCTTATCAAATGATATAGTGGGATCTCCAATATCATGATTTTCTTCTTTTTGGGTCTCACTGGGAAGTCAAGTAGTCGAAGTGTGGTTGGCAATGGAAGGGAGTGTCTATCTTATCAAATGATATAGTGGGATCTTCAATTTTAGGTTTTGAATTTGGTTCTGCATATTGATTGGATTATGAACCTCCTTTATTGCTTTGTAGGGTTTTTTGGTTTCTTGATATGTTCTACATGGCCCATCTAATCTCATCCATGTTTTGGTGATCTCTTCCTTGTATTTTGAAGTCTTAAATTTGTCTTTTGACTCTACCTTTCCTTTGTTCGTATGATTCTAAACCTTTTCCATGATTTCTGCTTTTTGGGTCTCACAGGGAAGTTAAGTAGTCGAAGTGTGGTTGGCAATGGAAGGGAGTGTCTATCTTATCAAATAATATAGTGGGATCTTCAATATTAGTTTTTGAATTTGGTTAAGCATATGGATTGGATTATGAACCTCTTTTCTTGCTTGGTAGGGTTTTTTGGTTTCTTGATATGTTCTACATGGTCCATCTAATCTCATCCATGTTTTGGTGATCTCTTCCTTGGATTTTGAAGTCTTAAATTTGTCTTTTTACTCTACCTTTCCTTTGGATTCATATGATTTTAAACCTTTTCCATGATTTTTTCTTTGGGTCTCACAGGGAAGTCAAGTAGTTGAAGTGTGGTTGGCTACGGAAGGCAATGTCTATCTTATTAAATGATATAGTGGGATCTTCAATATTAGTTTTTGAATTTGGTTAAGCATATGTATTGGATTATGAACCTCTTTTCTTGCTTTGTAGGGTTTTGTGGTTTTTTGTTTTGTTGTACATGGCCCATCCAACCTCATCCATGATTTGGTGATCTCTTCCTTGGATTTTGAAGTCTTATATTTGTCTTTTGACTCTACCTTTCCTTTGTTCGTATGATTCTAAACCTTTTCCATGATTTCTGCTTTTTGGGTCTCACAGGGAAGTCAAGTAGTCGAAGTGTGGTTGGCAATGGAAGGGAGTGTCTATCTTATCAAATGATATAGTAGGCGAAGTGTGGTTGGCAATGGAAGGGAGTGTCTATCTTATCAAATGATATAGTGGGATCTTCAATATTAGGTTTTGAATTTGGTTGTGCATATTGATTGGATTATGAACCTCTTTTATTGCTTTGTAGGGTTTTTTGGTTTCTTGATATGTTCTACATGGCCCATCTAATCTCATCCATGTTTTGGTGAATTCGTCCTTGGATTTTGAAGTCTTAAATTTGTCTTTTGTCTCTACCTTTCCTTTGGATTCATATGATTTTACTACCTTTCCTTTGGATTCATATGATTTTAAACCTTTTCCATGATTTTTGCTTTGGGTCTCACAGGGAAGTCAGGTAGTTGAAGTGTGGTTGGCTACGGAAGGCAATGTATCTTATCAAATGATATAGTGGGATCTTCAAAATTTGTTTTTGAATTTAGTTGTGCATATTGATCGGATTATGGACCTCTTTTCTTGCTTTGTAGGGTTTTTTGGTTTCTTGATATGTTCTACATGGCCCATCCAGCCTCATCCACGTTTTGGTGATCTCTTCCTTGGATTTTGAAGTCTTAAATTTTTCTTTTTACTCTACCTTTCCTTTGGATTCATATGATTTTAAATCTTTTCCATGATTTTTGCTTTGGGTCTCACAGGGAAGTCAAGTAGTTGAAGTGTGGTTGGCTACGGAAGGCAATGTCTATCTTATTAAATGATATAGTGGGATCTTCAATATTAGTTTTTGAATTTGGTTAAGCATATGTATTGGATTATGAACCTCTTTTCTTGCTTTGTAGGGTTTTGTGGTTTTTTGTTTTGTTGTACATGGCCCATCCAACCTCATCCATGATTTGGTGATCTCTTCCTTGGATTTTGAAGTCTTATATTTGTCTTTTGACTCTACCTTTCCTTTGTTCGTATGATTCTAAACCTTTTCCATGATTTCTGCTTTTTGGGTCTCACAGGGAAGTCAAGTAGTCGAAGTGTGGTTGGCAATGGAAGGGAGTGTCTATCTTATCAAATGATATAGTGGGATCTTCAATATTAGGTTTTGAATTTGGTTGTGCATATTGATTGGATTATGAACCTCTTTTATTGCTTTGTAGGGTTTTTTGGTTTCTTGATATGTTCTACATGGCCCATCTAATCTCATCCATGTTTTGGTGAATTCGTCCTTGGATTTTGAAGTCTTAAATTTGTCTTTTGTCTCTACCTTTCCTTTGGATTCATATGATTTTACTACCTTTCCTTTGGATTCATATGATTTTAAACCTTTTCCATGATTTTTGCTTTGGGTCTCACAGGGAAGTCAGGTAGTTGAAGTGTGGTTGGCTACGGAAGGCAATGTATCTTATCAAATGATATAGTGGGATCTTCAAAATTTGTTTTTGAATTTAGTTGTGCATATTGATCGGATTATGGACCTCTTTTCTTGCATTGTAGGGTTTTGTGGCTTTTTGTTATGTTCCGCATGGCCCATCCAGCCTCATCCATGACTGGGTGATCTATTTCTTGGATTTTGAAGTCTTAAAATTTACTTTTGATTCTACCTTTCCTTTGGTTTGGTATGATTCTAAACCTTTTCCATGGTTTCTACTTTGGGTCGGTCTCGCAGGGAAGTCAAGTAGTCGAAGTGTGGTTGGCTATTGAAGGCAGTGTCTATCTTATTAAATGATATAGTGGGATCTTCAATATTATTATACTTTTATACTTGTTATATATTTATTCATTTAAATACTAGCTTACCCTTACATGTAGGGGTGGGCATGGATCGATTTTTTTAAAAAACCGATCCAAACCGATCCGATCCGCTTTTAAATGGATTGGTTTATTTCTCAGTCTGATAGTAGAGAGTGGCACATGCTTGTTCTTCAACTTTCTTGTACTTATGTTTTTTTGAAACACTAACACACTTGTTAGAGATAACAACATGTATTATATTTGTCTCATTCAAAACCTTGCTGGGAATTGCTTCGTCTGACTTAACAATATCCCCCTTTTTGATGATGACAAATATAATTGATCAATTGGGTTTAGATAAAACTTTCACAGAGAATTTCATAGTTCATAGCGAATTCTGGTTTGCACATTATTATAAACGTATTACATCTTTCCCCCTTAGTATATACTCTCCCCCTGATTAAATTATCACCGAGCCATGTTTGTTTTTGATCAATATGATGCTATTTCTCCCCCTTTGTAATCATCAAAAGGAATTAATTCGAGGATAAATATCTAGATAAATCGATAAATCGAAATTGCTTAGCAGAACATAGATGAATAAAATTATAAATGGAGCAAGAGATTCTGGATGAAAAATATGTATCGAATTGAAATGGTAATGTAGACAATAAGAAAAATCCACATGAGCAAAATACATAGGATTATTCATTCCTAACTTAGTGGTTTCTAGCCTAGATTTTCAAAATGATCAGGAGGAGAAAGATGGATCCTTGGAGTGCTAAGACGCTATCAAGTTGAATAGGCGATCCATCTTGCTATTCAAGTCTACTTTGAACTCGTTGAAGGGCTCGAGGGAGACATATTGTTGTGCAGGTTCAGAAGCAGATGTAAGAGCCTCAAAGGGGGCGGACACTGTGAGGGGCTCAACATTGATAGACTCAGATAATGGTGAATCAGACGGTGCTGCTTCAGAAAGGACATCCCAAGGCCTAGGCATGCCTGGTTTCCAGGGTGGAATATCCTTGCACCAGTCATAGATTGGGGCTTTATACCACGTGTCTGTCACGTCCTTCCATTCATCCTTGTATAGATCTAGGTTAAAGAGAGTAGAATGGATGAAGTACATTTTACTAATTGCGTCAAGATCTAGCCCGCATCGTCTTTGGAGAAAGGCGATAGATGTGTCATTGAAATGCATTAGTTTGCATGGGGTCATCTAGCGATACCCACGTAGCATGAGTGTCTTTGCCTTCTCTTTGTCTAAGAGACCAGATGAACTTGCCTCCTAACTGTACTTGTGCATGAAGTTATGATATACTTTTTTTAGCATCATCTTTAGTGCTTTTGAGTGCATTGGCAAGATCCTGTGGCTTGGCTAGGCTTGCCCTTGGAAAATGACTAACCTCCATCCTTGATGGCTTGGCGTCCAAACTGTTGAGAGTTGAGCACAGGGCTCGAAATGTGAAAGTAGTGAACTCGGAGATCCAAAGAGTTAAGAGTTATGAGCGCGAGGACTCAAAACACTTGGGCATTAGTCCAAGATGAAGCCCAGGGTCCTTCATTTTATTCGGGTTGATTGAAGGAAGACAAGGGCAAATGCGGTTAGGGTAAACGAAAATTGGAGTGTCTTTGTTAGTGTATAAGGGAGGTGGTAGGTATAGCTGTATTGGTGTATCTATATAGAGCCGCAAATGGCCAACTGCGGAAAAATCGGACACAAAGAGGGAGTGATAGTGACCTATATGCACAGGGATGAATTTATTTGACGGTTGGATGAATTCTACCTTAGGTAGGAGGCTTGGAGTCTTTTTTAGATGGATAGTTATCGTTGTTGGTATTTTCCAGGTCTGCTGATCCCCCCTCATTTTATGTATATGAGAGCTTTTTCAGAGATTTGGGTGTTTGCCTTCCCTTTACGCAGTTCGAAAGTGATTTTTTGAACTAGATTAATGCGGCCCCCAGTCAGTTGCATCCCAACAGCTGGGGCTTTTTGAGGGCGTTCGAGATCTTGAGTGGAGTTCTAGGGATGGAGGTATCCCTGTCGGTCTTCCTTTCTTTTGTCCATGATTATTGGCTTTTTGGGTCTCACAGGGAAGTCAAGTAGTTGAAGTGTGGTTGGCTATGGAAGGCAATGTCTATCTTATCAAATGATATAGTGGGATCTTCAATATTAGTTTTTGAAGTTGTTTAAGCATATGGATTGGATTATGAACCTCTTTTCTTGCTTTGTAGGGTTTTGTGGTTTTTGTTATGTTCTATAGGCCCATCCAACCTCATCCATCATTCGGTGAATTCTTCCTTGGATTTTGAAGTCTTAAATTTGTCTTTTGACTCTACCTTTCCATTGTTCCTATGATTCTAAGCTTTTTCCTTGATTTTTTATTTTTATGGTCTCACAGGGGCTTCAAGTAGTCGAAGTGTGGTTGGCTATGGAAGGCCGTGTATCTTATCAAATGATATAGTGGGATCTTTAAAATTAGTTGTTGTATTTGGTTGTGCATATGGATTAGATTATGAACCTCTTTTCTTGCATTATAGGGTTTTGTGGTTTTTTGTTATGTTCTGCATGGCCCACTCAAGCTTATCCATGAATGGGTGATCTCTTCCTTGGATTTTGAAGAATTAATTTTTTCTTTTGATTCTACCTTTGGTTTGGTATGATACTAAACCTTTTCCATGGTTTCTACTTTGGTTCTCACTGTGGTTTTTTGTTATGTTCTGCATGGCCCATCCAGCCTCATTCATCACTTGGCGATCTATTCCTTGGATTTTGAAGCCTTAAATTTTTCTTTTGATTCTACCTTTGGTTTGGTACGATTCTAAACCTTTTCCATGGTCTCTAATTTGGGTCTAAGGGGTGTCAAGTAGATGAACTGTGGTTGGCTATGGAAGGCAGTGTCTTTCTTATCAAATGATAAGGTTGGATCTTCAATGTTAGTTTTTGAATTTGGTTGTGCATATTGATTGGGTTATGAACCTCGTTTTTATTTTTTTGCATTGTTGGGTATTGTGGTTTTTTGTTATGTTCTGCAGGGTCCATCCAACCTCATCCATGATTTGGTGATCTCTTCCTTGCATTTTGTTGTCTTAAAGTTGTCTTTTGATTCTACTTTTTGTATGGTTTGGTATGATTCTAAACCTTTCCCATGGTTTGTACTTTGGGTCTTACAGGGAAGCCAAGTAGTCGAAGTGTTGTTGGCTATGGAAGGCAGTGTCTATCTTATCAAATGGTATAGTGGGGTCTTAAGTATTTAGTTTTTGAATTTGGTGTTGCTTATCAATTGGGTTATAAACCTCTTTTCTTGGATTGTAGGGTCTTTTTACTTATTTATTTATGTTCTGCATGGCCCATCCAACCTCATCCATGATTTGGTGATTTTTTCGTTGGATTTTGAGTCTTAAATTTGTCTTTTGATTCTACATTTCCTTTGGTTTGGTATGATTCTAAACCTTTTCGATTATTTCTGCTTTGGGTCTCGCAGGGAAGTCAAGTAGTCGAAGTGTGGTTGGCTAAGGAAGGCAGTGTCTATCTTATCAAATGATATAGCAGGATCTTTAGTTTTTGAATTTGGTTGTGCTTTTGGATTGGATTATGGGCCTCTTTTTTTTTTTTTTTTTTTTTTTTGCATTTATAGGCTGTTGTTTTTTTTGTGTTCTGCATGGCTCATCCAGCCTCATCCATGAATTGGTGATCTCTTCCTTGGATTTTGAGTCTTAAATTTGTCTTTTGATTCTACCTTTCCTTTGGTTTGGTTTGATTCTAAACCTTTTCCATGATTTCTCTTTGGGTCTCACAGGGAAGTCAAGTAATTGAAGTGTGGTTGGCTATGAAAGGCAGTGTCTATCTTATCAAATGATATAGTGGAATCTTCTGTATTAGTTTTAAATTTGGTTGTGTATATGGATTGGGTTATGAAACTCTTTTCTTGCATTGTAGGATATTGTGGTTTTTTGTTATGTTCTGCATGGCCTATCAAACCTTATCCAGGATTTGGTGATCTCGCTTGGATTTTGAAGTCTTAAATTTTTCTTTTCATTCTACCTTTTCTTTGGTCCGGTATGATTCTAAACTTTTTTCATGATTACTGCTTTGGGTCTCACTGGATAGTCAAAGTAGTTGAAGTTTGGTTGGCTATGGAAGGCAGTGTCTATCTTATCAAATGATTTAGTGATTTCAACTATTGATTGTGAATTCTTGGATCTGTCTTTTGTTTCTTATTTTTATTAGATTCAGGATTTATTTTTTTTATTTCTCCCTTTTTTAATATTGGGTTTGACATGGAAGTCTAGTGAATGCGTGGGGGCTGGCTTTGGATACCGTGGTTCGTTTTGTATTTACTTCTCCATGAATATGTTGTCGAAGCAGTGGCAGGAGAGAATTCATGGGACGACAATGTATACTGTTAGAATAGTGGATCAAGCCTAACTCAACCCTATAAAACCGGTTTGTAAGGTGAGGGTTGCTTTCTACTTATATACTACTTTTCACTTATATACTATTCAATTGCTTAATCTCTAGTCGATGTGGGACTTGAGTTTTTTCTAATACACCCCCTCACGTCCAGCACTATCAAGCTTGGTACGTGGATAAATGGTGGGTGGCCTTTTTTAATGATCTAGGATTGGCGGGACTTGGTTTTTCCCAATACACCCCCTCACACCTATGAGACATGCATCAATGGTGGGTGACCCACTTTTAAAGTGGATCTAAATGGCCTTGATACCATGTTAGAATAGTGGATTAAGCCTAACTCAACCCTACAAAACCGGCTTGTAAAGTGAGGGTTGCTTTCCACTTATATACTATTCAATTGCCTAATCTCTAGTCGATGTGGGACTTGGGTTTTTCCTAATATATACAATCATTTTTTTCTTCATAATTTTCAATTTTGCAGACTATCTTACAACAGTGGTTCTGGATTGGTTGTTTTTTTATGTGTAGGGTTGCCTGGCAGTGTCAATGCGCTCGAGTTCTTCTGTATTTGAAGAATCCATATATTTGGAACTCTAGATTCTAAATGGGACTGGAATTAAATTATGGGACATCTTGGTTAGTGTCTGTATAATATATGCAAAGATATTGTCTCGGTTAGTGTCTTAATATCTCTTGTTAAAGTATGAGACAGCTCGGTTAGTGTACTTATATAAAGCAAAGTGATGCATTTGTTGTGAATGCAGTGGCAGGAGTGTGTTGACTGGGACGACACTATGTAAACCCTTATGTTAGATCATCTGCAATCATTTTCAGAATGTTCAATTCTGCAAAAACCATCTTCTTTCATGGGTTTAGGATAAGGTTGTTTTGTATGTGTAGGGTAACCTGGGAGTGTCGGATGGGCTGGAGTTATTCTGCATCTGAAGAATCCATGTATCAGAAACTCTAGATTCTAAATGGGGCTGGAATTAAAGTATAATACAACTCGGTTAGTGTCTTTATCTGTTTGTTTGGGGTATTATGCCAGTCTGGTTGCATGACTTTATAAAATGGATATCCAGTTCATCAAAGCAATGCCGGAGCTTAAATGTTTTTGAAGAATTAATATGATACCTGTGTTCTCAAATCATATATAATGGGGACAGCTTGGTTAGGTCTTCGTCACTTAATTATGGGTCTTGGTTTGAAGAATTATGCTATTATTTCATTGTTTGATAAGTTGTATCAATCAATGTGTGTCTTCTCCTTATTGGATGTACGTTTCTCAGTTCAGAACATGCATTTGGTATTTGAAGTGTGGAGTGCTAATATTCTACTGTATCCTGAAATGTAGAAGAATGTCTTAGATCTGTGTACTGATCTGAATCTTGTTTTGGAGAAGCTTGTGATTCCATTTTGAAGCTCACTCTAGGCATTTATTGAGAGATGTATTGATTATATATTGTTTATTTCTAATTTAAGAAAGTGTGCATTTTGTTTATTTTTAATCATGTTACGCAACGTGAACTATATATAGAATTTTATGATTTGTTATTCCAAGTTTAAATTGTCATGATTAAAATTTTATTTAATTTCCATAGATAAGAATAATCTATTTGAATCAATTTTTGGGTTAATTTCTCTATGACATTCTAAATGGTATGTTTTACTGGTTTCGCATTGTAATACTTGCGTTTTTTCTTTTGAATAAAATATTTTTGGAATATTACAGTGCAAGTTTTATCTGGATTGAAAGTTATTTATTTATTGAATTTTCCTTTAGAAGGATAATAATGATGGTATGAAAAAGGATCAAAATTTGGAAATAGAAGATGAAGACATAGATCTTGATGTTTCAAAGAAGTCGTGATTAAAATGTTTTTTTATATTATGATTGAAAGTTAAATTTCTATCTTTAGATAGAATAAATCTATTTGAATCATTTTTTTTGGGTTAGTTACTCTATTACATATATTCCATTATATATATTTTGCTGGTTTTACATTTGTAATACTTGTATTGTTTTCTTTTGAATAAAATATTATTGGAATACTACAGTGAAAGTTATATTTGGACTGGGAGTTATTTATTTATTGATTTTCCTTTTAGAAGGACAATGATGGTATGAAGAACGAATAAAATTCGGAATAGAATATGAAGATATAGATCTTGATGGTTCAAAGAAGCGACATGCAATTTTTTAATACAACAATTTTCAGTCCTAATTACTTTTATAAGATATAGAATATGAAGTTATTTATTTAGATGCTGGCCAGTGATGAATAATTATTGACATTATTTTTCTTGAAAAAACACATTAAAAAACTAATTACTTGTTTTGTTATTACGCTTTTATTAAGTGATCAGTGTTAAGGCATACCATCTTTTTACCGTAACCTGAGTACAAAATTATACCTTTATATGGATTAAATCGAATTAGTTCAATTCCATCAATAAAAGTAATTTTAACAAATATATAGATTATTTTGTATACTTAGAGAAGTTATTATAATTAAACATTTTGTTCTCAAATTATCTTATCAAAAAATAGTTCTCTATCTTAACTTAAAATTATTTCTTTATATGGAAAAAATTTATACTTTTCCTATTGCTCCCAAATATTTATGAATGACATTTTCATTTTGAGCTTTCTTCGATCACAATGTTTGCCTTGCGCTTCCTGTCGGACTTCCCTTGACGTGTACAGTATTACAAAATACACAATGCTTGTTTTTAAAGTTTTGCCAGAACTCATTTTCGGCTTAAAAGGTTTATTTTATCTGTTAGGTATCACAAATGCAACCGGGCCAATTTTAAAACAAACCATTTATCGATTCCAAATTCACATATTTTGAGATCCGTGAGTTTTGTAATCAGTTACTCCCATAGTTAAAATTTCTTCCAAACAATTATATATTAGTTTTAGTTATGTTTTTTTAAGTTATTAACCCGTTACATGTTTTGGATTAATCTGTCATTGTTGGAAAAGTTTAAATTTATAATTTTATTTATTTCTTTTAATTTTTTAAAATGTCATTAGTGTTGTAATTAGAGTTACTCCTAATGTTAGAAATTTCCTTCAGACGATAATTTGTTATTGTTGAAATTTTTAAATTTAAATTTTGTTTAATTCTTTTTAAGTTTAAATCTAAAATGTCATTGAAGTGATGTTATATATATATATATTATAATTATAATTTATTATGGAAAATAGATAAATTAAACATTTTTTATTATTATTTCCATTTTCTGATATTTGAAAAACAGAACTAAACAAAACATGTTTTTAAGTTTCAAAAATGGAAAATGAAAATAGAAAATATTTTTTTAAACCAAACGGCCTTAGAGTTGAGCAGAGGAGAACAACTTTGGTAGCATCTATACTTCTGTAAGTTTGTTTCATGAGCAATTAATCCAGGATATCCGGCTGAGGAGAGAGCATAGACTGAGGCCTTGATGGAAGAAGAAATTACGCGATGGAGAACAAAGTGGGGAGAGACGATTAAAGTCACTGAAGATTCTGCCACTGAAGATTTTGCAAACAGACGAAATGTTGAAGGTGATGTGCCTTAATGACAGGTTCAAAAGTGATCGGCGCGGAGGAGTAAGGTGAAGAAATCGATTCAGCCATTGAAGATTGTCAATCTCTTCATACCACATTCACAGTCTAAACTTCTTTTCATATAAACTTTTTCTTTTCAAAAGCTTAAGGATCATCTTATTTCATAATGCTTATTCTACATAGGCTATCCTCTTCCACAGGTTCTGGATTGGTTGTTTTGAAGGTGTAGGGTAACCTGGCAGTGTAAGAGCGCTCATATTTTGTGTATTAGGAACTCTTGATTTTAAGTGGGAATGGTGTTATTGGACTGCTAGGTTAGGGTCATTATCACTCTGTTCTGTTCTATATATTTGGTTTGGGGGTATGCTATATGATGATTCTATATCTTTCCTGATAGGAATAGGCTGTTTGTATGTGTTTCCGAAGAACTTATGTTACTTGGTTCTCAACGGGAAACAGTATATGGGACAACATGGTGATGTTTTTATCACATCTGCTTCTTGTTATGGAGAATTATGCTGATTTTTTATTTTTGCTCCATGATAAATTAATTGAACAAGTATTTCTTCTTGTAATTGGATATATCTTTGTCAGTTAAAAACAAGACTTTTGGAATTGGAAGTGTCAGAGCTTCTATGTGCTTCTGTATCCTGAATTGTTGGCATTAGAGGCAATTAGGCTCTACTATTTCTCTTGATAAATCATAATGCAAATTCTACGTAGGTTATTTATCTAATTCCATGGGTTCTGAAGACTTAGGTTAACCTGGCCGTGTCATAGCTCTCATGTTTTCTGTTTTAGAAACTCTAGACTTTAAATGGGGCTGGAGTATGGGACCACTAGCTTGGGGTCTATCTATGATTTCATGTCCAAAGTAAATATATCTCATCATGCTCCACATTATCTCTTCCCAAAATAGTAAGATTTAGATGTGGATAAAGTCATGTAGAAGTTGACAGCAACGAGGGTAGGCATTTTTTTTTTGTTTCTCGCTTTTCCTTAGAATGAATATATATATATATATATAACACCAGTGTAACTTTTATTAAATATTACACCGTTCAATAACTTTATATTAAATGTGAATTTTGTAAATCCAACCATTAGATTGAAAATTCTTTACTCTTAGATCATATATACAAAATTTTATATTAATCTAAAATGATTTGATACTTCATTCTTATAAACATAAAGTTATAAAGTGATATGAACTTTCAATAGTTGAATTTACAAAATTCACATTTAACATAAACTCATAGTTATTGAACAAAGTAATACTTAGTAAAAGTTGCACCGGTATTATTATAATCCTCTTTATATATATATATATATATATATATATATATTTGTATATATACACTGATTATTGAGTCTTGTTTTGGAGAAGGTTGCATTTTTATTTTGTAGGCTGTGGAAGCAATGGTGGTAGAATATTGACAGACTTCCTGTGAAGCCCTAGGTTTTATTACTCTTACAATAATTATTTTATAATGTGTTGATTCTGAACTCTGATATCTTCTAATGAGAGATTATTTTCTTTTGTAGGCTTTGGTAGCCTGGTAGTGTGACAGTTATTGCGTGCTTCTAACTGGAATAACAAATGTATTAGGGCAATGTAGTTTAAATTTAAACCATTTGGGGATTATTCTTTTGTTACATTGTCTGCTCTGCTAGAGTAGTAAAAACATTGTGTTTGGGCTTTTGACTCTTTGATTTGTTGATATCCGACATGGTTTTGGAGAATTCCATTCTCTTCTCTTGTATTCTTGATACGTGTTCGTCTAAATTCTTATGCTACGACATTTTTTTGATTATTTTTTTTGGGTGTCATCTAAGTGTTTAATTAGATCTTAAAAAATTTTATAGTGTTCACTCAACTAAAATAGTTCCTTGGATATATATATAAATATATATATATATATATATATATATTTTTTTTTTACACTTGTTATTTGAATCTTGTTTTGTAGAAGGTTGCATTTCTATTTTGTAGGTAGGTCAAAGCAATGGCAGCAGATTATTGATAGAAAGTTTTATTATCTCTCCTTAATTATTTTCTTATGTGTTTTGTGGACTCTTATATGTTCCTGTGGTAGATTATTTTCTTTTGTTGGCTTTGGTAGCCTGGTAGTCTCATAGTTATTGTGTTTTTCTAACTGGAAATACAAGTGTAATAGAGGCACTGAAGTTTAAACAATCAGGGGATAATATTTTTGTTACATTGCCTCCTCTACTGGACTAATCAGAACATTTTGGCTTTTGACTCTTTTATTTGTTGATCTCTGACTTGGTTTGGATAATTCCACTACTCTTCTCTTATATTATTGATATTTGTTCATCTAAATTCTTAATTCTATGATGTTTATTGATTATTTTTTTGGGTGTCATACTAAGTGTCCAATAGATCTTAAAAAATCTTATGTTGTTCACTCCACAATAATCTTGTTTTGGAGAAGGTTGCATTTCTATTTTGTAGGCAGTGAAATCAATGGCAGCAGATTATTGACAGAAGGTTGCATTTCTATTTTGTTACTCTCACTTTAATTATTTTCTTATGTGTTTAGTGTGGATGCTAATATGTTCCTGTGGTAGATTATTTTCTTTTGTAGGCTTCGGTAGCCTGGTAGTCTCACAGTCATCATGTTTCTAACTTTAAAAACAAGTGAATAAGAGGCATTGGAGTTTAAACAATTAGGGGATAACTTTTTTGTTACATTGCCTCATCTATTGGATTAATAAGAACATCATGTTTGGGCTTTTGACTCATTTACTTGTTGATCTCTGACTTGGACTGGAGAATTCCACTACTCTTCTCTTACAATGTTGATATGTGTTCATCTAAATTCTTAATGCCATAACATTTCAATTTTTTTTTCTTTTAATTTGGTTTCATCCCAAGTGTTCAATTAGATCTAAAGAATATTGTTGTTCACTCTACTATCAATGTTTCTCAAAATGTTGTTTGTATTGTAACTTAGTGAATTGCGTTAATGTGGAGTGGTTTTTTTTTTTTTTTTTTTTGCTGCAAGTAGGCATTAATGCATTAATAATTGTGATGATCTCTTCCACTTCTTCCAACCGATTTAAGTTTTGAACTTCTAACTATTTATTTATATTGATCAATTAATGATTTTTTCTGATTTTGGCATGACTGGTTGTTGTCTATCTTGATTTTTTTTTAAATTCCTATGTGGGTTGCATTTTGTGAGTGTCATGAGGAACTGCTGGATATATCTTATGTCTTTGTGTTGGGGTTATATCTGCAAGAGTAGATGTTATATTAGCTGTTAATTTCTTTAGATGAAAGTAGCATGGAACCATTCAATCTAACGGATTGTTTCAAGGAGTTGACAAATAATGATATTTTTTCTTAGATAAGCATTCGTTAATCTAGATAATCAAGCTTGATTATCTAGTTTAATTTCTTTGAGTTGTTAATCTAGGTAGATTGATTATCTGATTTAACTTTTTTAATGTTTCTGTGCTGTCTACTTTCTTAATTGAGGATTATTTATCTAGGAATTTGTTTTTTGTAGTTCTGAATTTTTTTTTACTATATGATATATTATCATATTGATCTAGGTAACCAATTGAAGAAAAGATCGTATTGGAGAATGTCCTTTGCTTTTACCATTTTATGTGTTAGGAATAACTCAGGACTATTTGATTTGATTTCTATGATGATAACTTAGTCTTGTTATTGTTTCCTGCATTTATTTTAACACGTGGATTGAATTATAAATTGTTCTTGTGCAGTTTCATGTTTTGAACTATGTTGTGTTGGCTTCTGCAAAACATCAAAGCTCTTGCATAATTTAGGTGACTTTCACCTAGAGTTAGAATACTTGGATTCACATTTTCATTTTTAGCCTTCTTATGATTCATCTTTTAAGTGTTATTTTTTGACAGCAGATTAATCAATTAATGTTTCGTGGGTTTGGTATCAGGATCTTTTGCTGATTTTCTATTGGAATTTGATGTTTCTGTTACATGAAATTGTTGCGTTTCCTTTGTGTATCTCTATCAGGACTAAAGTCACCGGAGTTTCGAAATCCTAAAATTTTACCCTTTTGGATTACTCTATATTTAGATAATTTCCCTTCTATTTCATACTGTTTTTTAGCTTATGTTCATGCTAATTGAACTTTTTTGATAATTCCAGTTGTAGAGGTTTTATTGCCAGAAAAGCATATCCATGCTACTGCACATGCCCTTTCTTTTTCTTGAAAGTCTTTAGCTTAAAAATCTTTTTTTTCTATATTTTGTATTGAAATCCAAAGGTATGTAGATGGTTTGAACAAAAGCTGAATAAGCTTGTCCTGCAGTATTTTGCATGTTTTTATAATTGTATTGTAAGATTATTTTAAAATGCCAAATGCGAAATTATTATTTTTGCATTGAGCTGTGTATTTGTGTAATACATATATAAATATTTGTATGTCTCTGTGTTTGTATATGTGCGTTGGACTGAAGATCTCAAGAAACTGGTAGTTCTTGTGACTTTCTCTTCTATTATGTTAATCATTTCAATGTTATTCTTCCGTTGATCATGGAGATTTTGGGGTTGTACTGCTCAAGTTTATCCGTTTGCAACATAAATGATATTTCGGTGTTTATAAATTTTCTATGCATTCTTCATACTGAATATAAGTATGGCAATTGAGTCTAGACAAATTTTTTTTTTTTTTCTCTCCCTGAGATCATTGGTTTTGTTAGTTTCTTAGTTTTATTTTCGTGCATATGGATCCAGTTGTGAACCTCTGTTCTTGCCGTGCCATCCACCCTCATCCATGATTTGCTGATCTGTTCCTAGATTTTGAAGTCTTAAATTTATCTTTCTTTTCTACCTCTTAAATTTTTATTTATCCGTGGGTATCTAAGGGTGGGTATGTGTGGATATTTGAGAAAATGTAAAATTTTAAATAAAAAGGTAAGAAATAACATAAAACTAAAATTAAATGATTTTGTAACATTATTTACACTAAAATAAATAATTATGACACATAATTTAGTGTAAAATTAAATTAAATTAAACTACTTTATATATTATTAAGAGTATTTTTCATATTTGGTATGAACATTCTTCAATTTACCTTTCATGATTTCTGCTTTGGGAGTCATAGGGAACTCAATTACCGGAAGTATAGTTGGTTATGAAAGCAAGGTCTAATCTTATTGAATTATTTGGTGATCGTTACCCTAGATTCTGAATTCTTGGATCTGTCTGTATCTAATTTTCATTGGTCTAGTATGAGGATTTTTTATTTACTTCTCCCTGATTTCATCTTGGGTCATACAGGGAAGTCTAGTGAATGTCTGGGTTGGATGCGGAAATAGTGGTGTTATCGTATTGCTGGTTATCCATATTGATTAAATCTTTCTGCTAATTCTTGGTCTACTTGCATTTTTTATTTGCCTCATTCTAGTTCCAGATGAGTTATCTTCGTGAGAGTTGCTGATAGAAGATTGAATGAATTAATTATGGAATTCTTGAATATGTGGGCTAGATTGTGGCTACTGTTAAATTTAATGTCTTTGACTTTGTACTGTAGCTATTTTTTCTATAGTGGGTTGTGACTAGTTTTGTTTAATCTTCTGTATACATTGGTTTGAAGTGTGAATTGGTGATCTCCACCTGGCTTTTTTTTTTAATTTTGGGATTTGTCTTTTTTGTATCCATTTTACTCATTAGGTTTAATATCCCTTGGCACATTTATATGTTTATTCTTGACTTTATCTTTTATGGATTCTGGACTTGTTAATAAAAACTTAACTGTGTAGGGTAATTCAGGAATATCATATTTCCTGGCTGTTTCTGTAGTCTTGAATTTGTCATTTCAACTATGTGAGGCTTAATAAAAAATTGTAAGACGAAGCTTTACAGGGAAAATGAACAATGAGTATACCATGAGCTATGAAAGCAATGGTAGGAGAGTACTATTAGCCAAATTTTTGCGAAAATCCATAGATTTTTATTGTCCTTACTGTATTTTGTTATGTTCATATTGGAATCGTTATCTTATTCTGTTTGTTTTGGATTGGTTGTTTTGACTGTTTAGGGTCCTGGCGGTGTCAGAGTTCTTGGATGTTTCTGTATCTGGAATTATACGAGTATTGATGGTTTCTGCTTCTATTGAAGTACGTTATGAATTTTGAGATTTTGTATCCAATTTTTCCACTAAGAGCATTTAGTTTTTTGATTTCATTCTCGGTGATTTTCCCTAGTGTCTCGTAGGGAAGATGAACAATAATTTATATAGGGCTGTTGAAGGCAGAAGTTGCCCATTGGCATTGTGACTTCTGATGATTTTACTGTTAGCAGAATTTAATTTGATTACATTATAACCATTGAATAAACCCCCTTTGGCCTAATTATTTCCTATATGTTAAGTACGTTACTATGGCTTAGCTTATGGTTTTGATTTGCGCTCATGTCTGGTTCCATAATCGAGTTGTGTTGTTTGATCATGTTTTGCAGCTTGCCGGGTCTGTTCCTGGTTTTAGATTACGCTATTCTTGATACAATGATTTAGAGCAGCTAACAGCTTTTGGAAAATCAATTTCTTCGATGAGTTTCCTCTATTATTTTATTTCTCTGGATTGAGCACCAAACCTAGGGATTGAATTGTGTTTTTCTACAGCATAGTTTTTACGCTATTCTTGATTTTGGTAAATCAATTTCTTCGATGAGTTTCCTCTATTATTTTATTTCTCTGGATTGAGCACCGAACCTAGGGATTGAATTGTGTTTTTCTACAGCATAGTTTTTGGAATTGTTTTGGTGTCCTTCAGCACACCAAGCCTCCGCATTATTTGGTAATGTCTCCCGAAGTTTTATTGTAATATTTCTTTTTGTTTATATACTTAGTCATCTATTATGTGGGTTTGATTATTGTACTAGATTTGGTATCGCTTCAATTTGCTGACTTTGTAAATGCCTTTGGATCTTTTATGTTTTTGCTAAATGAGCATTATTTTCAATCCCTGTTTGGGAGGTTTTATGTTTTACTGCCACAAAGGTTCTTTGATGCTATTGCATAGGATCTTCCCTTTTCTGAAAATGAATAAGCTTAAAGTTTTCTTCTGTTCCTGTTTTTTGGTTGTCTTTTCATTTTTATACTCTTTATAATGAGAATTTTAAGTGTTGACTTTTCATTTTAAAATTGTACAGATTAATCAATGAATATTTGGTATCACTTCCATTTGCTGACTTCTTATGTGGATTTGATTTTGTTTTCATTTGATTTTGTTTTCAAATGGAACTGTTGTATTTGCTTTGTGTTCCTGTAATCAAGAGATTCAGTACTAAAGTTACCAAAGTTGAGACCCCCAAATGACCCCCTTTTGCATTACATTGGACCTGAATAATTTCCCTTCAATCTCAGTTTGAGCGGTTTTATTTTGGAAAATGAATAAGCTTAAAATTATCTGTTTTTTGGTTATATTTTGTATCAAAATCCACAGACATGTAGACGGTTGAATCATAACTTGAATAAGTTTCTTTGGCAGGATTTTCCTTGTATTTTTAAGAGTAATGTAGGTTTTTTTTTATTTTTTAATTTTAGAATGATCACATTAATATTATTTTTGCATGGAGTTGTGAGTGTGTGTATACATACATTTGTTCAAGTAATTTTGTTAACCTGATTCCTCCTTTGTTCTTGAACTGTTATTTGAATTTTCAATCAAGCTTGACAAGATTGCTTAAATGAAAGCATGTAAAAAATGTTTGATAATAATGCCTCCTATGATTATTTTTATACTTATGAAAGTCTGTGTTCTACTTGTGCATGAAATTAGTTATATAATCCAACTTATCTTTGATACAATACTTATCTTTTAATTTTTTCCCCCTGTCCTTCCCTTTGATCTACCTAATAATGAACTTGTATGTGAATTAAGTTTTACATAATTTATCATGTGGCATTTTTTTCATAGAACTATTTTCTCTTTGTTAATATGGTTTTTCTTTTGTATTTGTTAAGTGTCTTTTTTCTTAGTTTTATGATGTGCTTTGGACTGAAGATCTCAAGAAACTGAAAGTTCTTGTGAGTTGTGACTCTTCTATTTCATCAATCATTTTAATATTATTCTTCAGTTGATGATGGAGATGTTGGCACTGTTCACTCAATTTCATTTTGTTTTCAGCATGCTCAAGTACATAATATAATTTAGAACAAATGATTTTGGAGTGTATCAATTTGCAATCCATTCTTTGTGCACAAGTATGAAAAATAGGACAGCTATAAAGTCTAAATAAATTTAATTTTTGTTCAATGGATCTCTGTATTGTTAGTTTCCATATTTGATCACGGGGCATTTAGATCGAATTTTGAACCTATATATATTTTTTGCATGTAGTGTTGAGAATAGTTTGGTGTTATGTTCTGCATAAGCATCCAGCCTCATGCATGATTTGGTGATCTATACTACACTGGGTTCTCAATTCTATGATTTGCCTTATGTTTTTTACTTTTCTTTGGTCTAGTAAAAGTGAAATCTGATTTACTTATATTCTTGATTTCTTCCTGGTCTCACAGGCAGTTAATGTGTGGTTGGTTGTGGACATAGAGACTATCTTGTTAAATGACTTGGTGATCTCTACCTATGGCTTTTTAATTCCCCGATTTTATTTCTACATTGCATTGGTCCAGTATTAGCATTTAGCTGTTTACATCAACAAAATTTTCCTTGGGTCTTACAGGGAAGACTAGGGACTGTGTGTTGGTTGGCATCAGAAGCAGTGGCTATCTTGGATGTTTCTGTAACTGGAATTGTATGAGTATTAATTGGTATTGCTATTTATTGTAGTAGATTTGAAATTTTAGATTTTTATATGCTTTTCTTTGTTGTGACGAGCATAGTTTTTTCTTCTTTTTTTTTTTTTTTTGGTGATTTACCATTAAGTCTTCTAGGTAACATGAACAATGAATTCGTGAAAGGCTATTGTAGCAGTGGGCGGAGAATGTACGATTTTTTCCCTAAAACCTTAAACCTTGACAATTTTTTCTGTTTTGATATACTCATGCAATGGCATCTTCTGTGGTTATGGATTGATGTTTGCTGGTAATATCCGATTTCTTCGTGTTTCAGTATAGTAGTAACTGTACGAGTCTTAAAAGGGGCACTGGTTTCACTATCCCAATTCAATTTGACTTCTCCACCGAAGGAGTATGGGGCAATTTTGTTTGGCTTTTAATTAGTTCTTTTGCATTTTGATTTGGAGAATCACTCTTGTATTGATGCTTGGTAAATCTTTATGTGATCTATTAGTATCTCTGCTCCTAATTAGATACCTTTTTGTAACAGCAAGACTTTTGGGATTGGTTTTGTTTCATTTGTATATTTAGCACAAGAATATGCAGGTATATGGAAATTTCCTTGATTCTCCGCTCCTAACAGGATATCTTCTTCGTCATAGCAGTTTTTGAAATAGGTGTTGTTACACTTCGTATATTTAGCAAAAGAATCTGCAGGTTGATGGAATTTTGATCCAAACATCTATTGGCATCTTCTTGAGGGTTATCCTCACTTGAATTTTGAATTATTATATTATTATATTTTTCATCTTTCATTTCGTTTTGTCTATTTAGGTTTCTTGATTTGTTTGTTTGTGGGTGTTACATGGAAGATGGGTATTGATGTATGTATGCTAGGCTGTGGAAGCACATTGGTTGGGGAGTAGTACTGATTGAATTATGTGTAAAACCTTATGATTCATTGTCCTTGGTATAATCATTATTGTTTCCTTTATGTTCATTCTGAAGTGGCTATCTTTTTGATGTCTTTTAATTGGTTATTTTCATGGCGTAGGATATCCGGGCTTGTGCAAGAGATTCCCTTACTTGGATATCATCTTTGTAACACTAACATCATATTTGGAGTTGGATTTGTTTGTTCCGTTTTTTATTGAGCACCGGAATTTCCTGGTAAATATCAAACGTGAATCTGCATCTTCTGTGATCCCTCTCTGTTTGTGACATCTTTGATTTGTCTTTTTTCCATTTCTAATTGTGAGCATTTTTGTTTTCCTGGTTTTTATTTACTTCTACAAGAGTTTCTCTTGGGTCCTAGAGCAAAGATAAGCAATGAATATGCTGTCTAAGCAGTGTCAGGGGAGGCAATGAGGTTCTGTTCTATGTTGTTCACTCTACTATAAAAGTTCCTTTGGGTATATATATATACACACACACACACATTTTTTTTTTTTTTTTACATCTAGGCTGTTTATTTGAATCTTGTTTTTGGAGGTAGTGAAAGCTGTGGTGGTAGATTATTGACAGACTTTCTATGAAGCCTTTGGTTTTATTACTCTCACTTTAATTATTTTCTGATGTGTTCATTCTAGACTCTAATATCTTCCTATGGCGGATTATTTTCTTTTGTAGGCTTTGGTAGCCTGGTAGTGTGACAGTTATTGTGGGTTTCTAACTGGAAAACAAGTCTATTAGTGTCATTGGAGTCAAACCGTTAGGGGGATAATTCTTTTGTTACATTGCCTTCTCTACAGAGCAATAAGAACATCGTTTTTGGGCCATTGACTCTTTGATTTGTTGATCTCTACGGATATATATCAATTATTATTAATTTTTTGGTGTCATCATAAGTGTTCAATCAGATCTTAAAAAATATTATGTTGTTCACTCTACAACTGAAGTTTCTCAAAATGTTTGCATTGTAACTTCAGTGAGTTGCTGTAGTGTGGAGTATTTTTTTTTGCAGCATGTAGGCATTGATGCAAAATATTTAATTTTGGTGACCTCTTACTCATCTTCAAACCAATTTTAAGTGTTGAACTTCTGACTGCTATTTATTTATATTGATCAATTGATGAATTTTTCTTATTTTGGCATCACGGGTTGTTGTCTATCTTGATTTTCTTGAATTCCTATGGGTTGCTTTTTGTGAGTGTCATGTGTAACTGCTGAATTTATCTTATGTTTTCTATTAGGGTTATAACTTTATGTGATGCTTTAGACAACAAATTTGTTAAGATTAGAGTAGCGAGGATCTATTCAATTTACCAGACTATAACAGCAACGAGTTGAGGAATATGTGATATTATTTTGGTGACCTCTTACTCTTCTAACCCATTTAAGTATTAAAATTCAGACTATTTATTTATATTGATCAATTTATGTATTTGCTGATTTGGGCATCACTAGTTGCGTCTATCTTGATTTTCTGTAATTTCTTTGTGGGTTGCATTTGTGAGTGACATCTGGAACAACTGGATTTATATTATGTCTTTGTATAAGGTTTATAACTTTAGTGAAGGTTTAGACAACAAAGCCGTTAATTTCTTTAGATGAAAGTAGCATGGAACCGTTCAATCTAATGGATTATATCAGCAAGAGTTGACAAATATATTATGTATTTTCTTAGAGCTTGTTTCCTTGTTTCTTTGATGAGCATTTGTTAATCTAGGTAGCTTGATTGTCTAATTTAATTTCTTTGACTTGTTAATCTAGGTAGCTTGATTATTTGATTTAATTTCTTTGATGTGTTTGAGTTGTCTATCTTCTTAATCGAGGATTATCAATCTAGGTAATTTGTGTTTTGTATTTCTGAAAATAATTTTACCATATGATATATAACTATCGATCTAGGTAACCAAATTGAAGGCAGTATTGTATTGGAGAATGTCCTTTTCTTTTGCATTTGATATGTTAGCAAGAACTCAGGACTATTTGATTTGATTTCTATAATAATTACTCTGTCTTGTTATTGTTTTCTGCATTTATTGCACAACACATGGATTGAATTTTGAAATTGATTTTGCAGAGTTTAGTGTTTTGACAACAGATTAATCAATGAATATTTGGTGGGTTTGGTATCCTGATCTTTTGCCGACTTTCTATGGGATTTCATGTTTCTGTCATCTCAAAATGTTGGGTTACTTTTGTGTTTCTGCGTCAGGACTAAAGTCGCCAAAGTTTAGAGATCCTAAAATTTCACCCTTTTGGATTACTCTGTATCTAAATAACTTCCATTCAATCATCATACTATTATTTTTCTTATGTACAATCTAACTGAACTTTTTTGATAATTCCAGATCGAGAGGTTTTATTGCCAGAAAAGCTTATCCATGCTACTGCACATGACCTTTCTTTTCCTGGAAAGTCATAAGCTTAAATAATTTTATCTATTTTATATTTTGTATTGAAATCCGAAGGCATGTAGAATGTTTGAATAAAAGCTAAATAAGCTTGTCTTGTAGTATTTTGGATGTTTTATAATAGTATTGTACAAATTATTTTTTAAGTCATTATTAATATTTTTGCATTGAGTCGTGTATTTGTGTAATACATTACATATATAAATATTTGTGTCTCTATGTGTGTGTGTATATGTGATTTGGACCGAAGATCTCAAGACACTGAAAGTTCTTGTGACTTTTGCTTCTTCTTTTACATAAATCATTTTAATATTATTCTTCAGTTGATCATGGAGATTTTGGGGTTGTACAACTCAAGTTCTTTCATTTGCAACATAAATGATATTTCAGTGTTTATCATTTTGCTATCCATTTTTCATACAAAAAAAGTATGGAAAATTGAGTCTAGACAATAATTTTTTTCAGTGGGATCTTTTGTATTGTTAGTTTCTTAATTTTTTCATGCATATGGATCGAGTTGTGAACCTCTTCTCTTGCAGTGCTATTCAGCCTCATCCATGATTTGCTGATTTGTTCCTAGATTTTGAGTATTTCTCAATTTACGTTTTCATGATTTCTGCTTGGGACTCTCAGGGAAAGTGTGGTTGGTTGTGGAAACAGGGGCTAATCTTATTCAATTTTTTGGTGATCTTTACCCTGGATTCTGAAATCTTGGGTTTGTCTGTTTCTGATTTTCATTGGTCTAGTATGAGGATTTTTTATTTACTTCTCTCTGATTTCATGTAGGGTCATACAGGGAAGTTTAGTGAATATGTGGGTTGGATGTGGAAATAGTGGTGTTATCTTATTGCTGGTTATCCATATCGATCAAATCTTTCTGCTAGTTATCAGTCTAGTTGTGTTTATTCATTTTTCTCATGCTAGATTCCAAATGAGTTATGTGTTTTATCTTCGTCGACAGAAGATTGAATCAATAAATTATGTCATTAAGGAATATGTTGGTTAGATTGTGGCTACCGATAACTTTAATGTCTTTCACTTAGTACTGTTTCATTTTCTGGAATTGATCACAGGAAATATGGATTGAATTTGAACCTGTTTCTTCTGCAGTGGGTTGTGACTAGTTTTTTTTTATAATGCACACGTTTGAATTGGTGATCTCTACTTGGCTGTTTTTGAAATTTTGGATTTGTCTATTTTATATCCATTTTACTCTTTAGGTTTAGTTTTCCTTGGTACATTTATGTTTATTCTCGACTTTATCTTTTATGAGTCCTGGACTTGATAATAAAAACTTAACTGTGTAGGGTAAGTCAGAATTATCATATTTCGGCTGCTTCTTGGTAAGGAATAGTATCAGTCTTGAAGGCAATGGTTTCATCCATCTCAACTTTATCATTTACATCTCAACTTCACCATTTCGACCATGTGAGGCTTAATCAGTATTGTAAAATTAAGCCTTACAGGGAAAACGAACAATGAGTATACCGTGAGGGGTGGAAAAAATGGTAGGAGAGTACTATTAACAAACTTTCTGTGTATGTCCATAGGTTTTTATTACCTTCATTGTTATTTGTTATGTTCATTCTGGACTGGTTATCTTATTATTTGTTATGTTCATTCTGGACCGGTTATCTTATTATGTTGGATTAGGATTGGTTATTAAGATAATGTAGGTCCTGCCAGTGTCAGAGTTATTGGATTTTTTGTATCAGGAGTTGCAGGAGTATTACCGGGTTCTGCTCTATTGAATTATATTCTTATTTTTGAGTTTTTGTATCCCTTCTTCTTTATCCATTAAGAGCATTTAGTTTTTTCATTTCATTTTTGGGGATTTTCTCTGGCATCTTGTAGGGAAGATGAACAATAAATTTATGTAGGGCCATGGAAAGCAAAAGTTACCGATTGGTATGTCAATCAGGAATTATTTTGTCTCCTTAATTATTTTGATTTGATTTCCTAAGAATGAGTTAGGCAAATCATAGAATGATTTGTTCTCTTTAATTGTATATATTAGGATATTTTGTAATTATGAATAATAATTACTGTAAATATTTCTATCATTATTTATAGAGGAAATAACAATATAGAAAAGAATATCAAACCGTTTTGTGACATAGTACCAGCCCTAGTCATGACATGATCCATACATTGTCTTGGTAGTTCCTGATTTTGTGGTTTTTGTGGTGATTCCTGTTTGCGATTCCTGTTTGTGGTCTCTATTTGTGGTTTTGGTTTCATACCTTGGGTTGTGGTCTCAATTTGTGATTTTGGTTTTGGGCTTCCTGTGATTTTGGTTTTGGGCTTCCTGTTTTGCGCTCCAACAATGTTGTTGCTTAGGTCCATGCTGCTCTTATTTTAGGTCACTGACAACTCTGGAAACGATAATTCTTGTGTTCACTTCATTGGCAAGAATTATTGCTTGGGAATTGCAATTCAAGATGTATGTCAAAGGGAAAGGATTATGTGGTCACTTGGATGGGATTTTGACAATATAGGCAAGCGTTTTCAGTTGGAGTTGGAGAAGCTAATTAGAAACAAGGTAATTTGTCTTTTCAAGAGTATTATTCTAGTTTTCTGAATTTATGGACAGCACACTCTGCCATTTTATATGTTGCTGTTTCCCAAACTTCACTTTGGCTGTTCAAGAAGGCTACGACATTAGTAAGCGTGATCAATTTCTCATGAAATTTCGCTCAGAGTTTGAAGTTGTTAGAAGTGCTTTACTAAATAGGAATGTTGTTGCGTCTTTGGATACATGTGTTTGTGAACTTCTTAGGGTTTACTTACTCAAGGATTCATGATGATGCTCTTTTTGAACTGTCGCGGTTGCATATACTGCCCAGAGTAGAAGTAAAGGTCGTGATATGCGATAGGTTTAGTGCTTTTCTTGCAAACAATTTGGTCATATTGTTTGTAATAATAAGAAGTTTTGCAATTATTGCAAGCAATAGTGTCATATCATCGCTAACTTCCTATACTCGTTCACGAATAACACAAGACAAGCATTCCATGCCACTACCAATGCAACAACTTGTCCTCCTATCCAAGTAGATCTGATAGTGGTGCTCTACATTATGAAATGATTTAACAAGTGGTACTTTCAGCTATTTTAGCTTGGGATAAAGGTAAGTCATCTAATGTTTCTCACTCATGGTTTTTTGATTTTCAGAATGTGCTTGTATCACTTGGACTTGCTTCCAATTTATTGTCTGTTAGCAGGCAATAATATAATTGTGATGTTAAATTTTGTTGGACTGGTTGTCTTGTGCAGGACCAGGTGTCGGGGAAGGTGATCGTGAAGGGGCCTAAAGTGGGAAGATTGTTTCCACTCCAATTTATTTCAAATCATCTTTCTTTTGCTCATAATAATGTTTTGAATCTATATGAGGTTTGGCATAGAAATTTGGGTTATCCAAATTTTACAGTTTTGTCTCATTTGAAATTGGTTCACTAAAAATAAAAATGTTGTTAATGCTATACCTATTTGCTGTTTTGTTTGCAAGTTGGCTAAAAAACGCTCTCTTTTCTGACCAGTGCTCATCGTGCTTCCTTTTGCTTTGAAATAATTATAATGATGTTTGGGGTATGTCTCCTGTTGCTTTTCATGCTCGTTATAAATATTTTGTCACATTTATTGATGATTACAGTCTTTTACTTGGATATATTGTCTTGCTTTAAGTTTGAAGTGTTTTACATGTTTAAGAAATCCATGACATATGTGGATATTCAATTCTTTTACTTGGATATATTGTCTTGCTTTAAGTTTGAAGTGTTTTACATGTTTAAGAAATCCATGACATATGTGGATATTCAATTCCAAACCAAAATTAAAGTTTTCCACTCTGATTCTAGTGATGTTACATGTCTCATGAGTTTCAGGAATACCTTCAGCAAAAAGGCATTCTGTCTCAACATTCTTTTCCTAATACCCTTCAACAAAATGGCATTGTGAACGTAAGAATCGTCACTTCCTTGATATGACCCGCACCTGGCTTCTTCAAGCTTCTGTTCCATCCAGATTTTGGGTGGAGGTTTTATCCATTGCTGTGTTCTTGATTAACGCCTTTCTTCTATGAGTATTGATTTTGACTCTCCTTTCTTCCGTCTTTTTAAAACTCACCCTGATTATAGTACTTTACATACTTTTGGGTGTGTATGTTTTGCTCATTTACCTTCGCTTGAAAGGCATAAGCTTGGGACACAATCTGTCCAATGTGCATTTATTGGGGGGGGGGGGGGGATGGTCCCTTTCACTTTCATAAAGGTTTTTTGTGTTATGATCCTTCTAATCATCATTTTCGCATTTCCAAGAATGTGACATTCTTTGATAGTCGATTTATGTTTCCTTGTCCTTCTTTTCAATTGATATTGCTATCCTTTGCTATCCTTTCTACATTTTCTACATTATTTCCATCTACTGAACGTTTCAAACTTGGCATCATATATATAAGACAACAGTGTCATCAAGTCCCCACTTCCCCCTTTTGATGTTGATCTGCTCCGTCACCTGTTTTTGTACCTGTTGCACCACGATGATCTGGTAGAATGTCTTGAGTTCCTAATAGATATTCACTAGATAGGTATGGTTCTTCTCATACTTCTCTAATAGCTTTTATCTTTGGCACATCTATTCCTAACCCACTTGTTATTCACAAGCTTTAAAGATATACAATGGGTAAAGGTAATGAATGATGAACTCTAAGCTTTTCAAGAGAACTTGTTTCTTGTCCTCTAGATTTCAAACTTATAGGCTACAAATGGGTGTATTCTGTGAAACTAAATTCTAATGGTTCTCTCAACCATTACGAGGCAAGACTAGTTGCCTTAGGAAACAAACAAGAGTATGGCATTGATTATGATGAGACATTTGCACTTGTTGCCAAAATGACACTGTCCTTTCTTTAGTCACCTCTAAAGTTGATTCCTCATCAAATGGATGTGAAGAATGTCTTTCTTCATGGTGAATTGACTGAAGATATTTACATGTTTCTCCTCAGGGCCTTTCTCTTCATTTAAGTGTGCAAGCTCTCCTTATATAGTCTGAAGTAGGCTCCTAGAGCATGGTATGACAAATTTCGTTTCACTCTCCTTGGTTCCGCTTTACATAGATAAATATGATTCCTCTTTGTTCATTCACCATACACCTATTGACATTGTTCTTCTACTCCTTTATGTTGATGATATGGTTATTATTGGCTCTGATCAAGCATCCATCCAAGAACTTAAAAATAATTGCACTCATTTCATATGAAAGACCTTGGCCACTTCCAAAGGTACATTTCTCCATCAGCATAAGTATGCCATGGATCTCATCTCTATGGTCGGCCTTCAATCAGCTACTCCAGTGGACACTCCTCTTGATGTTAATGTTAAATATCATCATGACGTTGCTTTTCGCCAGATTCTTTATTGTACCGAGCTAATTACTTGACCATTACACGCTTGACATCTCATTTGCTGTTTAGCAGATGAGTCAGTTCATGCATTATCCTCAACATCTCCACTTGGCAGCGGTTTGTTGTATAATTTACTATTTGAAACCTTACTCTCAGCAAGGTTTATTTTATTCCACTGGAACACCTCCTAAATTGATTATTTATAGTGATGCCGATTAAGCTGGGTGTCCTGACACTTGACGATTAGTCACTGGTTGGTGCATGTTTCTAGGTTCCTCATTGATCTCGTGGAAAAGTAAGAAGCAAGCATGCATATCTAAATCATCTATTGAATTAGAGTATCGTGCCATGTCTACCGCTTGTTCCAAAATAATTTGGCTTTGTGGTCTTTTGGTTGAACTTGGATTTCCTTGGACAGATCCAACACCTCTCTATGTTGACAATACAAGCGGCATCCAGATTGCTGCAAATCCAGTGTTCTATGAAGCACCAAGCCGACTGTCACTCTATTCGTGATGCTTATGATGATCTGGTTATTTCACTCCCTCACATTACTACTCAGCTTCAAGTCTCAGATATTCTTACCAAGACTGGTCCTTGACCGTGTCATCAGTTTCTTGTTAGCAAATTGATGTCGCTTGACCAGCCCCATCAATTTGAGGGGAGATGTCAATTAGGAATTATTTTGTATCTTTAATTATTTTGATTTGATTTCTTAAGAATGAACGAGGCAAATCATAGACTGGTTTGTTCTTTTTAATTGTATATATTAGAATATTTTGTAATTATGGGTAATAATTATTGTAAATATTCTTATCATTATTTATAGAGGAAATAACAATACAGAAAAGGGCATCAAGCCATTTTTTGTGACATGGCATTGTGACATCATATGATTTAACTGTTACAAGAATTTAATGTGATTGCATTGCATTATAACCGTTTTACCATCTACTAGATAATCTCAACCGTTAATCCTGACCTTGCCCTTTTCTATATAAACGCCCTTTGGCCTAAGTATTTTCCTCTATCTTAAATAGGTTAATATGGCTTAGGTTATGGTTTTGGTTTTCGATTATGTTTGGTTGATTATCTCAATTTCATGATTTTGACGTTTGATGTTCATATTCTTACGATCTGGTTCCATAATCGGATTGTTTTGTTTGATTATGTTTTGCAGCATGCCAGGCTTGTTGCTGATTTTAGATTCTGCTACTCTTGATACAATGATTTAGAGCAGCTAACAGCAAAAATCAATTTCTTCCATGAGTTTCCTCTGTTCTTTTATTTCTCTGGACTTGATCACCAAACCTAGGGATTGAAGTGTGTTTCTACAGCATTGTTTTTTTGAATTGTTTTGTACAAATGTCCTTCAGCACATCAAGCCTCAGGCATGATTTGGCGATGTCTCCCTGAGTTTTTGAATTATCATAAATTTTCTGTTTCTATAATTTGTCATCTATTATGAGCATTTTGTTTCCTCAATTTAATTCTACGTGACTTCTGCTTATGCCTTGCAATGAAGAAAAGCAATGGAAACAGTTGCGGGAGATTATTGACTGACTTGCTGTTAAGCCTCAGGCTTACATAGTTTATTTACTGGCTATGTTAACTTCTTGGTTGGTTCTTCTTTAGTGGTTTTCTTATGTGTTCGTTCCTGATTGGTTATGCTATCTTGTTGGCTGGATTCTGATTGGTGGTTTTGATGGTGTTCGATTACATGGTAGTGTTGGAGTTCTCCTGTGTTTCTAACAGGAATGATAGGAGACCAAAAGAGGCACTGTAGTTTACCATTTGGGACATCATGGTTGGACCTTTGACTATTATGATATTTGATGGTTTGCTTCTTGGTTTGGAAAATTCTACCACTCTTCTTTTACCGTTTCCTTGATAATTTTCAATATAATCTACAGAAGTCTTCCCTCTTCCAATTGAATGACCTCTTCATCGTAACTGCACAAGACCTCCCTTTGGAATAGGAATGATTACTTGCTATATTGAACACGAAATCTGTAAGTGTGGAAATTTTGTTCCAAATGTTACTATGTCAAATCTATTTATATGATTGTCTAGATTTTTTTTAATGCTGTGACATCTTATTGTGTTCCCTAAATAAGTTCCCTTCAATCTCTACTGCTCTGTCTCTGTACTCTGTACATGCCTTGATAAGTTTTAAGATTATTTTCTGTTCCATTTTTATTGGCTTTATCATTTCATTTTTATACTCCATATAATGAAAACTTAAAGTGTTGACTTTTGAATCTTCGATTGTTCAAATTTTACAGATTAATCAATGAATATGTACTGGTATCACTTTAATTTTCTGACTTATGTGGATTTAATTTTTTTTTTCATATGGAACAATTGTATTGCCTTTGTGCTCCTGTACAAGGAGATTCAGGACTAAAATCACCAAAGTTTTGAGACCCAAATTTCCCCCCTTTTGGATTACTCTGGAACTGAATAATTTTCCTTCAGTCTCTGTACTTTGTAAATGCCTTTGGATCTTTTATGTTTTTGCTAATTGATGATTATTTTTAATGCCTGTTTGGGAGGTTTTATGGTCTTACTGCCAAAAAGGTTCTTTGATGCTATAGGACCTTCCCTTTTCTGAAAATGAATTAGCTTAAAATTATCTTTTGTTCAGTTTTTTTCGTTTTATCTTTTCATTTTTATACACTTTATAATGGGAATTTTAAGTGTTGACTTTTGATTTTTTAAATCGTACAGATTAATCAATGAATATGTACTGGGTTTGGTATCACTTCCATTTGCCGACTTCTTATGCGGATGTATTTTTTTTTTTCCCATATGGAACTGTTGTATTTCCTTTGTGTTCCTCTAATCAGGAGATTCAGTACTAAAGTCACCAATGTTTTGAGATCCCAAATGACCCCGCTTTTGGATTACCCTGGACTTGAATAATTTCGCATACCTTTGAATCTTTTATGTTTTTGCCAGTCAAACATTTTTTTAATCTCAGTTTGAGAGGTTTTATTTTTGAAAATGAACAAGGTTAAAATTATCTCATTCTTTTTTTTTTTTTTTAATATTTTGTATCAAAATCCACAGGCATGTAGAAGGTTGAATCAAACTTGAATAAGTTTCTCTTACAGGATTTTCCATGTATTCCATAGAGTATTGTATAGGTTATTTTGTTTTTTTAAAATGATCAAATTAATGTTATTTTTGCATGGAGTTGTGTGTGTACAAATACTTGTTTAAGTATTTTTGTTTATCATGATTCCTCTTTTTTCTAGAATTTTTGTTTTTTGGACTTTCAATTGAGCTTGAAAAGATTGCTTAATATGACCGGATGTAAATGTTTTGCAATAAAGCCTTTACCAATTTCTTTCCTGCGATTAATTTTTTTTAGTATAAACTATAATGTATACAATTCTTTTTGATACCTCGTATGAAAATCTTGGTGTTCAACTTGTGCATGAAATTACTTATATAATTAAACTTATCTTTGACACAAAAAAATTGTAGATTCTCCCTATCTTTTAATTTTTTTCCTTGTCCTTACCTATGATCTACTAATAATGAACTTGTATGTGAATTAAATTTTACATAATAATTTATCATGTGATACTTTTTTCTTAGAATCATTTTATCTTAAAAAATTAAAAAAAGATTTTTCTTTGGATTTTTTTTGTGCACATCGATGTTTGCCATTATTTATATTGTATTTAAGAAATCATTTTCTTATTTGGAAAAATCAATAATGAATTTTTGTTAAAGAATATTTTAGAACTAGGAGAAAGGAAATCTGGAGGAGTATAGTTTTACTCCTTATTTATATGATCTCTTACCTGTGACATTGCTTTTCTTCTTATAGGAATGCCAGAGTCCAATCAACTTTGCAAAGAACTGCATAACAGTTGAAAATCAAATCATTTCAGATTACGTTCTTTGCATTTAAATTCTTCTTGATACCCTGACAACCATTTGTGTTTTTTGTAAAAGAACATCTTGATATCATCCTTGAAGGCTTGTGGGAAGAATATGAAATAATGTCTCTTATCAGTAGTTATTTCGACATGCTGAAATGGTAGAGAAACAAAAGAAATATTGCTGAAATGAGAGCCCCAAGTCAGTGAAAGGTTTTCTTGACTTCAAATTCTTATTTCGAATCTAACATAATCTCTCAAAAATGATTCCCCAATTGCATAACACTCCTTCTCTCTCTTCTAACTGACTACTTAAATCTGAATGGTTATTGAATTGATGGGTACAATTAAAGTAAATAAATAAGCATAAAGCATAATCTCTGAAGTTTAGGGATTCAGATAAAACACTCCCTTAAGCTGGAGATATATATTATATGTGATGGTATTCTTGCTTGCATTGATAGAATGGTTGATTAATGTGAGGATACCTTAATTCCTTATTCCTTGGAATCAAGTCCTTCAAGGGTAGTGTCCTTCAAGCGTAGTGTTTAGTGGATGAAGTATTTGATGAAAGGTTTAAAGGGTATTTTAGGTTTGATTCACTTTAAATATTGAATGTTGTTTTTAGGGTAGGGTGGTTTTTCTCTTGGTAGGGTTTGGTTGAAAATAGCTAAGGGAGGTTAGTCTAGGGTATTTGGAGGATGATTATTTAAGATACTCCGTATTATGGGAAATACAAATAAAAATAAATTTTATGACTAAGACACATCAAAATAAGGTAAAATAGGAAATACAAGAAAAATAAATCTTATGTCTAGGGTCTCAAAATATAAGGATAAAATAGGAAATTAAGAATAAGGGCAAAAAATAGAATATCCATAAAAATTTAGGAGTTAAGAATCAAAAGTAGCCTTATTCCTTTCATGCTTTTTTACTCTTATGCTTTCTAAAAGTTAACTTATTCTCTTGCCTCCTTTAATATATCACCTCTTGGTCTTCTTGAGCTTAGTGTGATTTTATTAATATGCATCTAGTTTATTACATGTATATGTTATCTTAAGACCTCGTAAATATTTAGTAATGATATTTGTAAGTTAATCCTTGGAGCAAATTAAGGAGGTCTTGATTAAGCCGGAGTGTCTGATGAAATGACAGTCAACTTTTATGTGATTTCTCTCATAAAAATGGATTAGAGGAGAGGTATAAAGTTGACTGCTTATTACAAACTAGTTCCATATGGTGTGAACTGTAAAGAGAGCAGTTGCAGAATTGACTCTCTTTCATTAAACCTGTAACTATTAGGCTCATTAAACCTATAACTATTAGGCTGATTTTCACTGGCTATTATCATCAACTAGATGTTAATAATGTTTTTTTAAATGATGCAGCATCCACCAGGTTTTGAGACTGATTCTATTATGGTTTGCAAGTTAAACAAAGCTCTATATGGCCTGAAACAAGTTCCTAGGCAATGGTTTGATAGATTACAAGCTACTCTGCTGCAGTTCTCTTTTCATTTATCACATAAATAACAATATTGTCATGTCTATCTTTTGGTCTATGTAGATGATATTATCATCATTGGAAGTTCATCTAAGTTTACTCTGTAGCTTATATGTCAACTCAATGCTATATTTTCTCTAAAAACATCTTGGCAAGTTGGATTATTTTTTGGGAATAGAGGTCAAACACCAGCCAAATGGTTCTATAATTCTTTCATAGAGCAAATATATATGTGACCTTCTTTAGAAAATTAACATGTTTGAAGCCAAACTAATTTCAACACCTATGGTTTCTACTTCCAAGCTGTCCAATGGGTTTGATAATTGACTGATATTTCAATGTGCTTTACTTTAAAATGTTGTATGGGATTTTTAGACGTGTTATCATAGTAGAAAATTAACATAGCCAAACTAATTTCAACACCTATGGTTTCTACTTCCAAGCTTCCAATGGGTTTGATACATTGACTGATATTTCAATGTGCTTTACTTTAAAATGTTGTATGGGATTTTTAGACGTGTTATCATAGAATATAGTATATTATTCTCAAGACTAAAATAGTTTTCTAAGTGATACTTTATCCATTGGAGCTTTAAGCAACATCTGGTTATTGAGATATAGTCTATCTCTACCGTTGAAAAAGTTATGGAGTTTTATTTCTTACTTGCCTATAAGATGAGGTAGTTTTGAGCAATAGCATCCACTCAAACTTTTTCATTCAATCCTATCTCTAGCATTGTCTGCATAATAAAATCTTACTAATTTTAAATTATTAATTTTCTTATAAAACAAGAACAAGTTAGTAGAATTAGAATATTTATTTAACAATTTTTAAATGTGACTCTCTAAGAAGATTAAAATCTGACATAAAGGCAAATGTTGAACATGATGTTAGGTTTGCTTGTAGTCAAGTAAAGTATAAGGATTTAATCATACTTCTATAGGTTTAGAAGTAATCGGTAGGAGTCACAACGGTTTCCAGGGTTTTCCTCGTTACTTTCGGTGCCAAAGGTATTCACTTTGACACAGAAAAGAAGTTCATATATAACTGAATAACAGCAGTGTCCCCTTCCCGAATCTTACGTCGATCAGTCTCGTGAAGAAGTCTTTTCCGATCTTCCACTAAGAAAGGTATCGTCACGACAACTAAATTTGCCCGGTCCTGTTATTTCGTAGGTGATGTTCGAGGTAAATCAAAATAGCAGCAATCAAGATACGGGCTCAAGGCTAGATAGAAGATAGGCTATTCCTCTTACCGTACTTCCGGTTGAAAAAAGCTGTTACAGAAGAAGCTGCAGTCCTTAGGCCTCCCAAAAAGATAGAAGTATCCGATAAAAACAGTCCTTACGCCGACATTAGCAGTAGTGCTAGTAAGGCCGACAAAGACAATCTGAGAGGTGCGACCTAATTTGTCTGTTGACAAAATTACAAAACGAATATATGGGTGTAGGCATTGACTTATAAGGCATTGACTTATAATTATTTATCTCATACTTTTTAAATTCTCTAGTGTATTTCTATAATGAATGAGGATGTCTTTATCTGTCTAATTGATATAAAGTCTCAAGAAGAACTTTAGTTCACCTATCATGCTCATTTCAAATTCTTTCTACATTAACTTAAAAATTCTCATATAAAAATTTATAATTAACACCAAATATTATATTATCTATATACATTTGAACTATAATCAAAAAATTTCAAGCGCATTTTCTAAATAGAGTTGTGTCAATTTTATCCTTCACAAAATTATTGTTGAATAAAAAATTATATAGTCTTTCATATCAAGCTCTAGGAGCTTGTTTTAGACTTAAAAAGTCTTTTTAAGTTTGAAAACATGTTTTTTAAAGTCAAGGTTTTCAAAACCTACATGTTGTTTAACATAAACTTCCTCCTCAATAATTTCAGTTAAAAATGTGCTCTTTACATTTATGTAAAAGTTTTATATTTTTGTGAGTTGCAAAGGTTGATATAATCCTAATAGCTTCAAGCCTAGCAACATGAGCAAAAGTTTTAAAATCAATACCTTCTGCTAATCAGATCCTTATGCTACTAATCTAACTTTATTTCTTATCACTTTACCTTACTCGTTTAGATTGCTTCTGAACAACCATATGGTTCTAATGATGCTCTATGTTCTGGTTTGTAATTAGAGTCCTTGGCTTTGTAATTAGAGTCCAAATGTCATTACTTTCAAATTCATGGAGCTCATCTTCCATAACAATGATTTTTCAGTGCTTTGTCTATGTTCTTTGGTTTTGCTTTAAACACTAGAGCACATGAAACATTGTCTTTGAGGGTAAATCATGTCTTTATCATCTAAGATCTAATTTTAAGGATGATAGTTGACAAAATTTCATTCTCTGTAACTTCATTTGACTAATTTATCTAACCTTTAAGAGAGTTTATCATCATATTAGTAATGTCTGGCTTCTTTTTAATCTTCTCTAATCTGCAAATTTGTAAATTATTTTTATAAATTTGATAGTTTTCTATCAATCGTTAGTAAATAGATTTTTTAACCATAAAGGTTCTAGAATTGTAAGTTTTATAGGCCTTTGAAGTATGAAAATATCTAAGGAAGATATTTTTGTACCTTTTGAAATCAAACTTATTTAGTTGATCATTAGTGTTAAGGATATAACATTCATATACAAAAGGAAATACGAAATATGGGTCTCCTTCACAATTTATAAGTAGTCTTATTTAGTAGTGGTTTTATTAGTATTCTATTTTGAAGAAATAGAATGTAAGATGTTGTGTTCATTGCCTTTACTTAGAAGTATTTTTGCAAAGAAGTATTTTTGTCATCTATTGTAAAGTTTAGTTCTTTCTTTCAACTATCTCATTTTATAGAGATATTCTCAATAAAGAGAAGTTGTGAAAGATACCATGTTTTCTACTAAAGATTTTGAAATCAAAATCTTCAAATTTCGCTCCATGACCACTTTTAATGGTAGTTATGTAAAAACCTTTTTTTCATTTTGAACACGTTTGCAAAATATTTCAAAAATCTTAAACGACTCATGTTTGTAGTCTAAGAAATGTACCTATGTATGACTAGAAAAGTCATTTACAATGACAAATCTATATCTTTTACCTCCTAAATAAGAACAAGTTAGTAGAATTTGTAAGATATTTGAATATTTATTTAACAACTTTTAAATGTGACTAGGGATGACAAATATACCTGTACCCGCGGGTAATACCCGAACCCGTCCTGACTTTGACGGAGAATACCCGGTTTGACCGGATACGGGTACGGGTACGGGTAAAACCCGATATATTAAATCGGGTACGGGTACGGGTATGTACTTACCTGCCCCGTACCTGTACCTGTACCCGTCCCCGTTTCCATTTTTAATTTAATATTCACTTTTAATTTAATTATATTAAAAAAAATTTAATATTTTTTATGTGTGATTATTTATTATAATATGAGATAGAAAAATAACTTAATTATAATTATAATATAATAAAAAAAATAATTTAAAAATATTTTTTTTACAAAATAAATAATAAAAAAATTAACGGGTACGGGTATACCCGATACCGACGGGGACGGGGATGGGGATGAAAACCACATACCCGGCGGGTACAGGGACAGGGACGGGGATGGATTTGACTCGCGGGGACGGGGATGGGTATCATAAAACCCGTACCCGCCCCGCCCCATTGCCATCCCTAAATGTGACTCTCTAAGAAGATTAAAATTTAACACAAAGGCAAATGTCGAACATGATGTTAGGTTTGCTTGTAGTCAAGTAAAGGATTTTAGATAGTTCGAGCAAAGTTGCATCTGAAAAACATTGGTATAAAAAAAAATTGCAACTATTGTAAGGCCACTTTTCAGCATTAAAAGCTAATGTAAAATGGCATTGCAGAACCACCGAACGCGTACATGTGGTCACTTAAAAAAATGCCATTGCAGAGATGTATGAGATGTTCATCACTTCGGAAACTATAAATAGTAATTTTTTGAATTTTTTGTTCGCATATTTGATGCTGATTCAAACTACTAAACAAATTTTGTACTACTTCAATTACATAAAAATCAATTTTTAATTATAAATACAATTTTATTATTAATAAAACCATTAAAAATTTGGTTAACTTTCCTTCTTCCTTGCTTTCTAAATTTGCCCTTGTCTCTCTCTTCCCTTCTGTTTCAAGTATACATTGGATTAAACAATCAGATTTCTTTTTTCCCTTTCATTCTATTATTGTCTATTCCATATAGATGATTATGAATTCTAAAATTACTTCTAATTGATTAGACACGGATATGATGAATATTTACATCAAAATAAAATGAAGCAGGGGTAAGTGTCGAAGGAGTCGGGGACAAGTTTATCTTCTTTTTTTTTTCTTTATTCAACTCAAAAATTATGATCGGATCATATAAATTATTTACTTAACTATGATTAATAGATGATCTTTGGTTCAGTGTGTTTGAATTCCGCTTTTGCTCAAAGGTCTGAACTATCTGGATTTAAAATCTTAAGTTGTTGTGGAGTAACTTATCTTTATCATTATCTACCTATATAAACAAGGGTTTAAATAAATAAATGCACTTACCATCGCCTTATATATTTTTATGATAATATATGAAAATTTTACATCAAATAATCACAATAATGTATAAATAAAAACAATTTTAATCTCAAATAGATAGTTTTATAAGATTTAATGAATTTACTTTTTAAAAATAATAAACTTGTTTTATAAGATTAAATTAATTTACTTTACAAATGTGGACAAAATTAACGTGTTTATATACTTTTTTATTTTATTTTTTGTGTTCATATATTCATCCATAGTTGTATGTTAGGATACAAACAAGTCCCATATCAATAAAATAAGATAAGAAATAACAACTTGTATAACACAAACATACTTCAATGATATAGAGACTTATTGGATAATGACGAAAAGTAAAACTGTGAGTATTTAGGCCCAAATCAGACAATATCTCATCATTGTAAAGTATTCTTGTGTAATAATCTTATAAAAAATAATCTATATAAAATATTCCCTTAGATAAATACTATAAAAATAATCCCATCATCGTAAGTTTTCTATATATATTTTTCTTTTGTTTTTCATATTTTATCTAAAAGATTGTGGATCAACAAACATAAGAAAGGGTAAAAAATACAAGAAAAGAGAAGAGGTGGTAGTCATGAGGTAAAGAAGGAGAGGTGACTGATA